TTAAACCATGGGAAATTTCTTGGTGCCTTTTCACTGAGTCATCGCCTTGCTATAACTAATGCAGGAATAAGCTGCATGGGTGTACCGTGCCCACATTGGGGTCCTACAGCGCTCAATCGGTGTACTGTACCCTCGCACAGGTTCTTCATCCCAGGCTAATCTATGACAGCCCTAGTACAGGTGCAGATTACGGTGATGAAATGGACACCGGATCCTGAGCAGGGTTTCTCTCGATCCAGTCTAGTCACCCGTTCTTTAACAAGATTCTTTCCAAGGCCAGATTGGCCACAGATGTCCTTGACGGTCACCATAATGGTAATAGATTTGCTCACAAGAATAGAAACACCTGTGAAAAAACAATAGCCGGCCAACAAGGCGATAGATCAACAATCTCATTGCAACGGCTGGAATTGGTTGTCCTTACCGAAGCCCATGAAAAAGTTGCTTCTATTTTCTGAAACTAAAGAGATTAGAATTTTCCTGAACAGCGACGTGGGACAGCAACCGTCTTCTCGCAGTGCGTCCAATGGCCACACTAGAGCGGCTTTTCGGAACCGCAACGTAGATCGAAGCCTAGCAAAAATTGTCCCTCGGCCTTCGGCGACTGGAATAGGAATTTCATTCAATGATGGCGCATGGATCAGGTGTGGGTCAAAACTTGGGATTACGGCATCGCGCAGAACTGTAATAGATATTCGCACGTTTAACACTTGGCTGATTCGCTCGAAAAGGAACCCCCCCCCAACTTTAACGCCGGGATGAATGGATGGCTCACACGCGCTGCGTCATTACCATCTGAAGCTAAGGGTCTTTTTTGCCGGTAAGGAGCAAACAGCGAAAGAAGTGAGCGAAGCAAAAGAGCGCCGGGGAGAGATGTCATAAAAGAATAAGAATTACAGATAGATAGGGGCAAGGAAGCATAAATACGAGTATACGAGTGAGAGCGTTCTTGGGTTACGAAATCTCCTCGTGGACGGAACCCCGGGTGCTTGGTGGAATCCCAAGTGCGTCCTTGAGGGCCTCTGCCTAGCAGTTTTGTGCGACGAATTTGGTATATTCTCCTGCTCTGTAGTTCTCGACCTGGTACTTCACCGGTAACTTAACCCTTGGACACCTCTCATAAATTCCATTAAAATAATTTCTATGTGTTCTTCTTATGAACATCAGCATTGTGGCGAATTATGTGACTCTCATTCTAAACGCTCCTAATCTACAGTAAGTGAGAAACATGGTGAGCCTCAGAGAAATGTAATCAAAACTGGGTAAAGGCAAAAGTCTGGCTCAATAAGGGGGATTATGGCGATTGAAACTGAGTATAGAGATGCGAAGTGTAACGGCAGTGGAGAAAAAACCGCGAAAAACCCTCGACAAGGCCGTTAACAAAGCCCTCTTTCTCAAAAGCAATGAAGGAGGCCGGCTTGGGGAAGAGGCACGTACAAGCAAGTTTTCTGAAGATATCAGTCGTTCTATCGGTTGATACGGCTATCAACCTAGCTGATTTCACACGTTATGCCACATCCCGAGGTGGGCGGTCGTAGCGGGGCTAGGCGGCGATAGCGCATAGTACGTGCCCTGAGGCCTTATTACCGCGTCGTTTGAGATTTTGAGCATGGGAACATCTCTACGGGTGCGTAACCAAGTACAGGCATGACCGAAAGGGTTGGTTAGGTCAACTAAGCCCGACCTTTGCCTTTAAGGAACCGCATCTGATGTCGATCTCGAGGCGACGAGAGGCGAGGAGCAGCGATATCCGACCGCTCGCCTCAACGGTAAGCCAGGGATATGGCCAAGTGACTCCCGCGCACATGAGTCCTGCTTGAGGCTCAGTTTTCATTATCTACAGCTGGACGTGGGAAGCTCTCGACCACCCATCGGTGCTCCCGGAATCCGACCGACGTACAAGGATTTGCATCCAAACGAAACGGAAGCTGTTAGTTTTTTTTTGTTTTTTCAATAAACCTGAATCAATCAAAGCTCAGGAAGGTTGTCCTGGTTCCTTGCTGTAGGGAATGCTCCGGTTTTTACACATATTGCTTACAGCTATGTTTTAGGAAATTGTACCGTGTGACTTGAACGGAAGGAATGCTCAGAACCGATTGGGAGAGCGGGAACGAGTGAGCCTTCCTGATGCTTTGATGAATAGCACCCATAGAACCTCAACCCTTTAGCTTTCTGGAGAAGTGGAAAAATTCAGTCTTTGTGCGAAATACACCCCCATAAGCTGAAAGCTCACTTCCATCGCTAATTCAGTCTCAGAACACTGAATATTTCAGATGAGCGCCTAATCTACTGGATCGGCGTTTCAAGGTCTCCCGTTTTCGTTTGAATCGCATCGTCAGTTGAGTTGAATCGATGAAATAATCTCTCCGAATTGTGCCTTTACAGCACGCCAAATATTTCCCTCTTGAAAGGTTCTTTAAGCTAATGAATGAATGGTTCTACCAGGGGAAGTTTCGGAGTAATGGGTCTGGTGTTTAGCGAAGAAGATAGGGAAAAGGCCTCTAACAACCAACACATACAGCACCATAGGGACACACTACCTTTAATACTCTTCTACTAGGGAATATATACAAGTTTTTTGTTCTATCCTGTCTCACTGAGGTCGTGAAATCGTAGGGTTCTCTCCAAGATTTAGAGTATTTCAAAATATTTCACTCGATTTTTAAAGCATTTCTTATCTCAGACTGTTCCGTCTGCTTACAACGACCAGAATGCTTACACGAGACTCATCAAACGCAACATCAAAGCCGCAAGTTCGACGTTTAACACGATTATTTAATATTGAATTGATGGATTTGTTTGATTGGATTTTTATGAGTGGATTCCATTCAGCTCTTCAAAATCATTCGAAACCGATTGCTGTGGCCGACTTCGATTTACCCGAGCGTGGACTGATTGTTTTCGGTCTTGAAGACGGTAACGAAGAAGGTATGGAAGAAGCCTACATAAAACACTCTTCTTCGATAGCCTTTTCCTTTTCAGATCAAGACAATGAGAATGCTGCTCACCTCGTCTCCCACGATCGAACGACAAAAACCTGTTTCACAACAAGTACGTCGAGCTACTTTTCCCAAGAAATTGTCACCTTTTGAGCCTTCTGAATTATTTCGTGATTTATAATGAAACTCGCCGATATGGCTGCGAATATACCCTTCGAACGGCGGGCGTCGTCATCCAAAGACTCAACCTTACTTTTATGTTCTTACTGTTCCTCTATTCGTTCACTATTTTCATGGTCCCAGAGCGACTCAGCGCTGCGTTTTCTAGAAATCCTTCTAAGCCTACAATACGTGCAGGAAGCTTCAAGTGTTTAGAACTATCTTCAAACTCGCCCTTCTGCTATCGGGTCCAACCATGTACTAGTAGTAACTGCGATCTTGTAATCCTATAGAGTAGTGTAAGGGCAGCTCAAATCCCAAATGGAAGTTCCCTGACCTGCTCAGCGTTCTGTCATCCTGGGGTTGGTTGCTGCTAGCAAATTTGGCTGAGAGGATAAAACCAGCCCAAAGTCGTTGTAATAGTACAAAGCAAATCATTTGAAGGTTGCTGTGATATGCATGGCGTATCACGGCAAGGGCCATTTATCTTATGCTTTTACTATTTAAGTGTTTGTACGAACTTCGTAAAGCATAAAGGATAAAGGATAAAGCATTTGCCGTTGATCAATCCCTTTTTGGGATGCGGCACGCATTCTACTTCCATTTGTACATTCGCAGTGGCGTTTGAATGCGATGTGGCCTATACAATGACTTGCGGGGGCCAGCCGATGTTCAAGTCAGTGTTTTTATCCTCCCAGACAAGTCTGGTACCAATTAACCGACCCCGGAGGGATGGAAGGCTTGGTTGGCCCGGGCGACTCACGACCCAGGATTTGATCCCCGGACCGCGCGCGTGGTAAGCGTGCCACTTGTCACTACACACCACTTCCGCCCCAAAGTAAACGGCAAGGATATAGTGTAATTCTCATCGAGGAATGATCGAGAATGCACACGGTGTATGGTTTCAGATAAGAATGGTTCGGTGACGACCTAACGAACGCAGAGATGACGCGGAATAGAGGCACTTGGTGGTGTCGTTGTCGTTGATGCGTCTACAAGCAGCGTAAACTCATCTCACAGACCACCTACCTGAAACATTAATCAAGCTCTCTATCTCTGCTCATCCACCCGACTGTCCGTCCGCCACCACAACGTGGCATCTGTAATCGTCGTCAATTGAAGTGCTTACGAATCCCTGTGATTGTATACCAGTTGCTTTCATTCATTTACTCATTTCATCACTTCAAATCACACGAGTCGTCTCTTCTGTCTCCTGTGCTTTAGCCATGATTTGTTGCCTCGTACATGTCGAGTTAGTGTGTGTGTTGTTGTGTGATCTATCGTAGAGGATAACGTGGAGAGAACACGTCACTCGGGAAGCTCGAGAGAAGTGCAAAATAGAACTGCTCTAAATATGCTTCAGAGTTCTGACAGTCCGTCAGCAGAATTTCCTGGTAGGCACTGGAAGGTTCGTGTGGATCCTCGGACGGAGAGGCCAACGTTGGAATGGATGGTTGGAACAGAAGGTTATACGCGGTTCACATTCACACATGCCAACGATTGAATGCAAAAGCATGAACCGATGGGTTATGAACCAACCTTGACAGTCTCGCGCCATATGTTCATCATGGTACAGTGTGGCGGAAAACACTCAATGGCTTTAAATTCGGACGGGAGGACTCAAACATTACGGTAGGAAAGCTACTCACTGAGGTGAAGGCGTCGTCTCATGGAAATGTGTTGAGCGAGGCTCAGATAGGTCGATAGAGCTTCAAAAGCTGATGACAATTATGGGAACTAGAAACAGCAAAGTGAACCTGCCAAGGGAAGTTGGGGCAGCCAGAGGTGGCTGAAAGTAAAACATTACACTTGAACCGTGCAGGCTTTCGGACTATAAGAGTTGCCGTGAAGTGGATGTTGTGCTCTCGCTCTCGATGTGGGAGGTCGTGCGTTCTCTTCCCGATGGAATACAGCTTTCGAGAGCACTACCACTACTTGAAATCCGACCGGTACATGGGTCGATTATGAAAACGCTTTACTGGCCAGCCAACTGTGACTGTCCACTGGAGTGGCAGGGTCATGTTGCAGTTTCAGTTTTCATATCTAATCAGACTATCAGCAGTCTATCGGCTATCTTTGAGGCTCTATCGACATATCTGAGTCGCGATTCAAAGTTCCATGGGAAGCTGAATGCCTTTTCCTAGTTAGTTCACTAATCCAATTTGGTTTGTTTCAAGACTTCCGATTTCTTCGATTTTGACTGAAATTCCAAAGCTCGACGCTACTTATTTTGAAGGCAGCGATTACGATAATTTGTAAGAGGGTTCACAGAGACGGGGTTGTGCTTAGTGGTGCGCCCAGTGGCAGAGAACTCTGTCAAGAAAACGCAAAACGGGACCCCTTTTTGGTCTTTGGCACTCATGAACAGGTAACAGCTCAGAAAGCGGACGTATGAACGAGTTCACCGCAACGCGTTTGGTGGCACCATGCCAAACCACGCTCCAATCGAGTTGCTCCAGTTGTGCCGCTGCTGGCAACGCAGCTCGTCCAAATCACCAACTAAACTAGTGGGCGGATCGCTTTTGGGGGCGGAGCGCTTTCGAAGTCCTGCTCAGCAACCAGCGCACCTTTCGTCGTGAAAGCGCCACACCTCGCTTCCTTGGCAGCCAAGTAACTGCTTCGTGTGGTGCATATGCTTCCCCGATGCGCTCCCTCTTTATCGTAATCGCTGCCTTTAATTTTCAAGTTAATATTTTAGTACGCAATATTTTTCTTTCTTGATGGAGGTAAGGTATTTTCTGAAGTTTATTGTACTTGATTTATCAGTCATAATGCACGATTCAATGAGAATGGAACGCTAAAACAGCACTGAGATCAAAAGCGTTGAACAAGTGCATGCATACAGTAAACCATATCACAGTTTTGAGAACATCGGAACGTTTTTGTGAGATCGAAATGAGATCTGTTTTCTGTGCAACGGAATCTACACCCAACTTGGATGTAAGTAGACCGAATCACTAGATCTTCTGTGAAGCCAGAAAAGTGTCAGGGTGGATTTCCCGGACAAGCTGGCTACTATGAGACCCAGAAGCCAAGGCACAGTGGGTGAAACGAAATCAGCACACGAACGTTTGGGGCTTTGATCTAGGTTTTCTTGTGAATAAGTGGATTGGTAGCTTCATCGTCATCATCAGGTCCGGGGCTCGTCTGTTGACGTTTCGCAGCTCCTTGTTCGCTCATCACAGGCGATGAAATGATCACGCTACGGCGCCGCCCATTCGACTCGGTGATCATCGACTGACCGCTGTCGGTAATGCGAGTAAACTGAAAGCAGGCATTAGGTAGAAGCATAGGAAATTGTTCTTTAAAATGGATTCTGGAGCAGAGACGATCTTTAGACATAGCTTATCCATAAATAAGTGGTATTTTTTATTTTTAGGTGACACCTAAATATAATATAACTTTAGCTTCACCTTCCTTTCTTTACCTATTTGAAGGATAAAAAAGGATAAAGCATTTGCCGTTGATCAATCCCTTTTTGGGATGCGGCACGCATTCTACTTCCATTTGTACATTCGTAGTGGCGTTTGAATGCGATGTGGCCTATACAATGACTTGCGGGGCCAGCCGATGTACAAGTCAGTGTTTTTATCCTCCCAGACAAGTCTGGTACCAATTAACCGACCCCGGAGGGATGGAAGGCTTGGTTGGCCCGGGCGACTCACGACCCAGGATTTGATCCCGGACCGCTCGCGTGGTAAGCGTGCCACTTGCCACTACACCACTTCCGCCCCATTTAAGACATGTCCTAGATAAAGTGTCACTCCAAATTCCTCTGCTCCGGTCAATGAATATTCCATCACGTATACTCGAAAACACTACATATCATAAACAAACCGACTGAACTGAACGGTAGCCCACTCATTCAGAAAGCCAAGAAATGCACTAACATTTCTACTCAAAACTTAAGAATTCCTTGTTCCACATGGAGGAGGGGGGGAGACAAACAATCGGTCACATTGACACGAACTAATCACTAAGCTTTCATTCTACACGTGCAGACGGTGATAGGAAGTTATTATTAGGTTGTCTCATAAATAGTGTCGCTTTTTTTCAACCAAAAAATTTTCATCCAAATCCTCATGCTTTTACATCGAGTCATATACCATTCGAAAGAGAATTGTCTGCTCTACAAAATATCGTGTTCTTCTTCCATCTATGTTCCATGGTTTTCAAATTTGAGGCCTGAAATGGGAGGTCCCGCCGACAAAAATTGACCAAACCGACAACTAGCTCTAACTTTATGTTCCCTTCGGAGAAATCAATCAATGATGTACCCTCTACTTATGCATGACCTCTTCTAAACATTACACTATTAGGTTTCCCAACAAGTCGCATCATTCCATTTCCAGACCCGGTTTTTCAACCAGAACTCGACGGTTGAGCACCATTACCTGAGATCGAGGTCGAAATTTTTTATAGCCGAGACATTGAAAAACTAGTAGAATTTCAAGAACAAGTCGTGACTAAGTTAGGAATGTACGCCTGGTTGATTTTCTCATCTCTCAAGGATAATTTCTTTCAAAGAAATGCGGTCACTTTTGTGGACAAAGCACCTTACTCCTAAACCCTAAAATTCGAGCTAATTCCTAACAAACATCAAAACAAAACAAATGAGCGAATAGAGCAGAAGAAGTGCTCACAAAAGACACCACCAGTTGATATAAAACAATAGCGTTTCAGAGGAAAGAATTTCAATTTGAAAATTGCCATGGACTTATCGGTTGGCCAATTCGAAAAGAAACAGGGCAAACCTTTTTCGGCAACCTAAGGGTGGAATGTTCAGAAGAGGTCATGAGTAAGTAGAGGGTACATCATTGATTGATTTCTCCGAAGGGAACATAAAGTTAGAGCTAGTTGTCGGTTTGGTCAATTTTTGTCGGCGGGACCTCCCATTTCGCAGGCCTAAAATTTGAAAACCATGGAACATAGATGGAAGAAGAACACGATATTTTGTAGAGCAGACAATTCTCTTTCGAATGGTATATGACTCGATGTAAAAGCATGGGGATTTAGATGAAAATTTTTTGGTTGAAAAAAAGCGACACTTTATGAGACAACCTAATAAAACAAAATAAAAAAAAAAACGTAATAACT